AAAGGTTGGAGGGATAAAGGAGAGGGACTGAGGAGGAAATTAAAAGCAGTGCTGAGTTGTATTGTAGTCCGTGATGCTGATTGTCTTTCTGATGATGTTCATTTGAGCTTTACTCTAATTTGAAACCGGTGATGAAATTTGCCGTTGTGTTGATTTGAGATGCTTTTCTTCCCTGGCATCGGAAACGTTTATTATCTGATCCTGCTCGGCATGGTGACAGCGGCAATTATCAGCAGTGCAACTCTGGAGAGCCGAGTGACTGTGATGCTGTAGTGGCCCCGGAGGCTCTGCTGAATATATTTATGAGGGGCCCTGCTTGATTTGCAGAAATGTAAACAACATTTTAAATAGTTGCCTTTGTTGTTTTTTCCCCCTTTTATCCCCTAAGAAAAAGAGTCGGCGCCAGAGATGTAATTGAAACCGGAGGAAGACGTCGCCCATTAAAAATATGTGAACTGAGCTGAGCGCTGATGATAGTTCAATTACATCTAAAGTGCACGGAGGAGGGGGAGTCGAACACGAGAGAGGAAACAACTGAAGAAATATGAAGCAATATGAAGAAATAAATGAGGAGACCAAGTGGGTGGGAAGACGTGCAGGGAAAGAGTACTGGTAGAGAGTGAGGACAGGGGCTCCAATAATAAATAAAGCAAATCTGTGCATGCTTTGATTATATTGCTTTCTTATTTCCAAGGGGAAAAACAACTGAATAATTAATATGAATCTGAATGGGAAGGAGCTTTCAGATCAAGCCCTCTCTCACTTTTAAATTATTCCATTATAAGTGAGTGCTCAAGGTGTGCACCGTTATTACGGAGCTAACCATCACTCAATCATCGTAATTTCATTTGAGCCTTTTAGAAATGTGATAAATGTGATGAATGTAATCCACGCACCAGGACCAAGACTTTTCTGAATGAGCAGTTTTGCCCGACTTTGACTCAGAATAATAACTTCTCACAGGTTCTTGGAGAGGCTGACACAGGATTATTTGATTTAGCTCTCTCACAAGAGAGATCATAAAAATTTAATTCGCAAATCCAGCAGAAGTGGAGTCTGTGTTTCAAAGCAAATTGCTTGCAAGTGTGTGAGTGTGTGTGTGTGTGTGT